AATACGACCCCCCCCTTCTGGCGGCCACTCTCTGTTGGGGAGGGACTCCCTAACAACGATGATGCGCTCTGATCGAGATACTAAGGAGGTTCAGTATCCAGAACTTACGGAGAATGTCAAAGATTCATAGGCTTTTGTTTAAGGTCCTGTTCTCCCATCCACCTTATTCTTTAGTGCGTTGGGTGAGGGGGAAAGGGGATTCACCCGTTCTCGCTCCCACTTGATGAGGAGGGGGAGGGGGCATTCGAAGGTCCCTGCCGTGATGGCGGAGGTGGCAGGTATCACTTTGCCGCGGATCAAGTTCCGCCTCTGCTATCCACGCTTTAAAAGCCTTTCTAGACGGCAAGGCTCGGCCATCTCCGCCTGGCGGATAGAAAACACCAACTGGTCATTAAAATTACTGCACACGTGAAATCGGCGCTTAAGAATCCTATGACGTCAGTGTCATACTCAATCGGAGTATCCTTGGCACAATATTACCATTGCGGTTGCCAAGGATTTAGCTTGTACACAAGGGGACTGGTGGGTAAGTCATGGGGTTAGTCAGAACGCCACCGTGAACGGCTATTAAGGAACGCCCCTCCCATCGGTACAAGGGGGGCGGGCGGATTTCGCTTTCAGACGCCACTTCAGCACTGTCCATGGGCCGACTTCTGCTCACCGCCATCGTCAGCGCTTCGGGTGTTACCATTACAGCATCACTACTATGCTTACTTCTCGTCATTCACGACATCAATGTCATCTACGATGACGTCATCAGTGAAATGAGAGAATTTCAAGTACGTCATTCATATTGTACAGTACGGTAAATGACTGATTTTGCTGCTTTGAGGCACATTAATCGCTTTGCCTGAAACTTTATTTGTTGAATGGATCGTTTTTTTTGCGATTTTCGGGGCGCAGTTTTTTTTTCTGCTAATTAGCCATGGTCACTTTCGCGTCCATTATGGCCCTGTTCTTCGTTCTGTTCGTTTGGGATAAATAGAACTACGCTGCGTCTCATATTGATAATTCCACCCAGAAATTTTACAGAAACTACATATACTTAGAAATGTCTTCGCAAAGGTCTTTAACGAAGGAACTGTTGTCAACACAGTGAGAGGCGTTATTTACCCTTTTCTGGCCCATTCATTGGAACTATAGCCAGATTTTGATTGAAATTTGGCACAGTCCGGCTTGGTGGGGGCATAGAGCTGATCCCCAATAATCATTGCGGCTCTCTCCTGTGGAAACCTGCTAATTCTTGTAAGCTAATCAATAATATGAGCTTCGTTTACACTTGACAAGAGTTTACGTGTAATTTTAAGATGAGACGTGTGATTTCACAAGGACTAGTAAAAGAAATTAGCGGACCTGCAAAATGCCCTTAAGCCGTGCAGGCGCCTGGAGTTTTTCCATTGGGGGTTTGGCTACAGTTTCGTCCCTAGAAGCAGTTTAACCCCCTGAACACAAATATCGTGTCTCCTTGGCTTAAAACTGACTGCCACCTGCGCCTAAATACCACGAAAATCATGTTCGTTGAATCTTTGATACTTGCGGGTGCCGGCGCTAGAACGAGCTGTGGCAGTGGCGCTTATGGCGCGATGCCAGGCGATCACTTCGCGCGATCAAGTGATCAGCGAAACGCCTCCGTGCATTTGGCATCGTGTTCCGCATTCGCAGAGAATGTACCATTCTCGTCACCAGAAACGCCGAGATCAAGAAGCTAGAGACGCGTGAGTGTTGCAACCACGATTACTTTCACTCTGCAAGATAACGGCTCACAAGCGGAATTGCGTGTGTACATAGTGTTGCCTGGAGTGTCGTAAGGCGATTTCATATGCTCTTGCCGTCTGACGTCCAGCAAACTCGTCCAAGGCGCCGCCCCACTGCTAATGGAAGAGGGCTCTGTTTAGGGGGTTCCCTCATGGTCTTTTCTCCTTGTTTCTCTACTGAGGCGTTACTTATGGGCTACTGGATGATGATTGAGCATTTTTTAGCTGTAACATTTGATCTCAGAAATTGTCTTTAAGTAGGGAAGCATAGAACTGCTCATCGGACATTGGTTATTATTACTGCTCTAAACCTGCAGCGAGAAGGGTAACTCGCTTAGAAGAGATAAACTGCATGGATAAACCACATGGCGTGGCAGGGCCTGTCTTGCTGCTATGCTGATTCCACTCATTCAGCGGCTGTAAGACTATGTGCCACAAGGTATCTGAAAAAAACCGGAATTACGTTCTCTTATCGAAACATTTCGAGTTCTGTGTAATTGCAGCCACTGAATGAGTGGAATCAGCATAGCAGCAAGACAGGCCCTACCACGCCATGTGGTCATGTTCGGGAAAGCGCACTTTACGCGAAAGAATCATCCTTTTCTTCATTAAAACTTCCGGTTTCGTAACAGAAGCCATTGGCGACTTAAGGAGTCTTTTTGAAGCAGAATCTTACACCGAGCGTAATGTACTTATTATCGAGCTTCAACCATTTATTGCCGTGTTGAACCGTTCTCGGCCACTCAAAATGGTGCTGTTCGCTTTTATAACGCGGCCGCAAGCGCTTGCGTGTCATTACGTATCTGATCCTTGTCGAAGGCGACAACTAGTGCAGGAAAGGGGGACCGTACCAGAAAACTTTCCGCTAGGAGGGGGGGAGGGTCGTGCTGACACTGCCATTTCACACATAACGTTGCTGTACTCTGTTTGCAAAAGCTTAAGATCCTTGAGAGGAACCCTCTTAGCCAATGTGAACTAACAAAAGGAACTAGCACATCGAGAAAGGTCCTACCCTTATACTTATACTTATACTTTATTCTTTATCGCACAGACACAAATAGAGTGTTTTTGATCATTTGTGCGAAGATTCTCGAGGAACCGGCAGCGGTGAATAATGTCGTCCATCTTCTAGTCATGTCTCTGGTCCTTGCTCCAGTATAACGAGCGAAGTCGTCCAGCCATCTTGTTCTGGGACGTCCGAGACCTCTTTTTCCTTGTGGTATCCAGTCAGTTGCCACTCGAGCCCAGGAGTCTTGAGGGGACCTTCTTGAGAGACGCGCAGCGTAGGACCATTTTCTTTGTAGTGCCGAAACCACCCAATCTTTCAGCGATGTCCTTCTGCGTAGGATTTTGGATGAGATTTTGTCCGAAAGCCTAGCTCCAAGTATGGCTCTTTCTAAACGTCTTTGTGCTGTTCTGAGGCACATCGCCACTTCCTTTGTCCATACCCATGTTTCGCAACCATATAACACTGTTGGTAGGATACACATATTGATAAGTTTTCGTTTCAAACTCATTTCCACTCGAGGTTGTCGAAGGAACAGTCGGTTCTTGAAGTATGAGGCACGAGCTGCTTGAATACGACTATGGATCACATCCTTAGGATTTCGCGGGAACGTTATCCTTTGACCGAGATAACTGAAATGGTCGACTCGTTCGATTTCATTTTCCTGCACGTATAAGGGACCGTCGATATCTCCTAGATCGGCTTTACTCAATCTCATCCATTTCGTCTTCATAAAATTAATAGTGAGTCCCACTTTCTCCGCAGCATCGGCCAACATTTTTGCCATTATTCCAATATCTTCACAACTATGAGCGAGAAGGACAATATCATCAGCATAAGCTAGGTACGAGAGGGTTTTGTTCCCTAGTTTCAGTCCTTTGCCCTGCCAATCTATCAGATTCAGCGCGTACTGGAGAACTAATGTGAAGAGAACTGGAGACATTGAGTCTCCTTGTCTTACACCCCGCTGCAGATTGAACTCTGCTAGTTGGTTCGCTATTCTGACGGCAGCGGTACTGTGTGCATACAGCAGTTGTATGGCCATTATCAAGTTCTCCTCCACACCAAAATACTCCAACGCTTTCCATATCATTGGAAGTTCCACGCTATCGAAGGCCTTCTTAAAATCGACGAAAACGGCACATAGCTCTATATTGAACTCGTGACATTTCTCGGTAATCATATTAATAGTGTGAATATGATCTATGGTCGAGAAGTGCTTGCGGAAACCAGCCTGCTCCGGTGGTAGAATTGACTTTTCCTCAATTGTGGCTGTCAAACGGTCTGTAAATATTCTTGTCAGCACCTTATACAGCGTCGACAGCAGCGATATTGGCCTGTAATTAGCGATGTTAGATGGTTCCAGCTTTGTAGAGTAGAATGTGTGAGCGAATGCAAAACTTGCAGGCACAACCTTTGTCCTTATCATGTTGTTGAAAAAATGTGTTATGGGTAAGGCGAGTATTTGTGAAAGAGCACGAAGAGAAGGGGATTGAATGCCATCGGAACCAGCAGCTGAACGTGCTTTGCTTCTCTTCATTGCCTTTGCATTGCCATTTGCACTTCATTATTGTGGGACCTGCAGAATTTATTTCGACTGGATGGTTGAGTGGGAGGTCCGAAGGAGGCAGTGTCACAAGTGCGTGTATAAAAATTTTACTCTTTTCACTGACTGCGACACGTGATCAGGAAAAGGTTCATCTGATGGGGAGGGTCGCTAGGAGGGGAGGAGGTGGTTTCTTTCAGGATTGTCAAGGATCTTCTTGCGTGTAAAGCTTGCATGCGCCCACGTCGAAGGCGTCCGGACTTGATGGCTTGACGAAATATTTGAATATGACGTTGTCGCAAATCTTCTTGGATAGATTTTCGGGCTAGCTTGCAAATCTCAGCATACTCCACGATTCCCCTCCCATTATCTCCGTGACGTAGCTCTCGTCGTCTCTGGAGGAGATCCCGGGTCCTTGGTGATAGACGTGGTGGGAGATATTCATACCTTGTGGACATCTGAGTAGCTGTTGTTATGACGCGAGTAATGGTATCATAATCTTTGATTGTATCGCCAGTCATCATATTTTCATGTAGTAAACATTGAGCGGTTGAACACAATAAGTCGCTGTCGATAACGGGGAATCCTCTTGGTCTTCTTACTGGTTGTGAGATCGGATTCAGACGCATTTTACATCTTAACACTGCAGTGGTCACTCCCCCCCGTGTTTAACACTAGTGAGCACTCCTACATCGACAACGCCCTTCATACTTCTCAACAATACATAATCAATCTCTTTCTTCAGTCCCAAGGCATCATTTCGCCATGTCCACCGATCGTCAAGTCTCTTTTTGAAGAACGAGTTAGCAAGAAATAGCTTTCTTTCCTCACAAAAGTCGGCCAACATTTGTCCACGGTGATTTCGAGCTCCTGAGGAATTGTTACCAATGTATCGCTCTTCATTACGGCGTAAACCAGGAGTTGCGTTGAAATCGCCCAGAATCACTTGGTGCTTACTTCTCCTGGCATCGAGAACATGAGCAAGATTGTCTAAGAACGCCTCGTATTCCACATCTTGAAAATCTGAATGGGGCGCGTGAACTTGTATTATACGGAGAAGTGCTCCGGCTTGCTAGTTTTAGTCGCAAGCTCGAACATTTCGTTCAGGAATGAAAGAAACAAGTCGCTGGTGTTTTGATGTCAACGATTGGACGGTACATAAAGATCCGTAATCCCTTCTTTTGGTTCGTTCCTCAGTACCGGACTATGATATACAAGAGTACCCCATGTGCAGAGTCTGATTCTTGCCTTGGCCAGCCTACTCGTGTCTCTGAACTCCAATGAACATCGAACTTGGACATTCCTCGACGTCGGCTTCGAGTCCGGCAAGTCCTTGCCGACGGTGGCAATGGAGACGGACATGTCATGGGTGCAAAATCGAAGCGGGTCCGTCTTTTGGCATAGGGGTCCGCGCGTAGCCAACTGCGTGTTGGACGGGCGGACGCTTCTCTCCTTTGCTGTTCGGGGTGGTTTGAGTGAGCAAGGACGGTGGAAGGAGTGGTGAGGGTCGACCGCTCTTACGTGAATGAAAGGAGGAGAGTCAGTACCTATCAGTCCTACCCTTTTCCTAATAGAAAAGCATCTTTTCTTGAAACGCCACACAGTGGACACTAACCAGAAGGTCGGTTCAGGACGTGGAGCGCTTTCTGAAAACGGTTTTTTGCATGAGTAGGGTGTCAACGGTGCATGGGAGCTCACCAAATTGACGTCGTTCATTTTTCCTGCGCGGCGCTCTGGAAATACGAAAAAGGAGTGGAAAAAGAATGCATGAAGACCGTGGTTTTTGTGAAGACACGTGGTAGACTCTAAATGAGCTTGCCAGCTTCGACTACTTGCTGGAGTGGGGAGGTCCTTAAAAGGTACTGACAGAAATCTGAGGAAGGTAAATTAGTTGCGAATGTGGGTCTGTTACTCTGAGAGGCACATGTGATTGAAGAGTAGCGGCTCTAAGCGGCTTGGTCGGAGAGGTTTTCTTACGCGAGGCACATGATTAAGAGTTAGCGGCTCTGAGCGGCTTGTCGGGCGGTTTCTTCAACGATCGGAGTGGTGTTGGCTACAACGATCGGATGGCCTAGTGGATAGCGTGGAGGATTCTCAATCGGACAGTGAGGGTAGGGGTTGATGGTTCGACTCCCCTCGGCTTGCGAGTTTTTGCATTTTTTATTTTCCGTTGTTGTCGCTTCCATATATGTCTGTTAATGAATTTTACTCGGATATCTGCCATTTATAGGCACATCCTAAATAGTTATACCCCGTAGTCGGTGCTATTCAGCAATTTCGATTTCACATACCATTAAGCAAGAACTTGTCTGAAGTTGAGCTTTATATGTTATTCGGTGCCCTGATCACGACTATGGCATTTGCTTTCAGCTCTAGTGCCATTTATCCCCAATTTGGAGCCAAGTCTTTCTCCCACTGGACTCGCTATGTACATTCATTTGAGGGACTTTCAGGGCCATTCTGACGCCAGATTGCGTTGACGTCAAGAATAAGTGTCAGAATCGTGATCAGGACCATCGATTACCCCTATAGGCAAACTTTCAGCCAAAAAAATTTTTTGACTTTCTTGAGGTTGTGTATTGGGTTATGCTCGAAAGTCACTCTGTTGAAGTCGTACTTTTACAGGTCACCGGAGCTCCCATTCATTGGTACGGAGACATAAAACTAACAACAACGATAAACGTCATCAAAAAAAAAAACGAAACGGTTATCATTCCTCCAGGTGCATTTGAAAAAGTGAAGGAAATCGAATGAGTCTCTTGGAAGGGAGGACGACATCTTCGTTGAGCAAGCAGTCGCTAGGGGTCGACAAATGTCCAGGATGGTTTTTCACTTGTTCTGCGGCCACCCATGCCCATGCCAAGTATGAATGGACCTTATGAGCACCGAATCCGCGATACGGCTGCCTCGCGGCCCACCACGTCATCGTTACGTCGCTCCAAAGGTGTGAGACTTCGGTCATTGCTGTCGACCAAATGGTCTATCACAACTCAAGAAAGTCAAAAAAATTTTTTGGCTGAAAGTTGCCTATAGGGGTAATCGATGGTCCTGATCACGATTCTGACACTTATTCTTGACGTCAACGCCAATCTGGCGTCAGAATGGCCCTGCAAGTCCCTCAAACGAATGTACATAGCGACTCCAGTGGGAGAAAGACTTGGCTCCAAATTGGGGATAAATGGCACTAGAGCTGAAAGTAAATGCCATAGTCGTGATCAGGGCACCGAATAACATATAAAGCTCAACTTCAGACAAGTTCTTGCTTAATGGTATGTGAAATCGAAATTGCTGAATAGCACCGACTACGGGGTATAACTATTTAGGATGTGCCTATAAATGGCAGATATCCGAGTAAAATTCATTAACAGACATATATGGAAGCGACAACAACGGAAAATAAAAATGCAAAAACTCGCAAGCCGAGGGGAGTCGAACCACCAACCCCTACCCTCACTGTCCGATTGAATCCTCCACGCTATCCACTAGGCCATCCGATCGTTATAGCCAACCATTAGTCCC